AGCAAACATAGTTGGTAGGGGGGGGGGGCGGCTAGTAGTAGTAGTAGTAGTAGTAGTAGTAGTAGTACTAGTACTAGTAGTAGTAGTAGTAGTAGTAGGAGGAGGAGGAGGAGGTGGCATCACCAGCTGTAGGGGTAGTACACAAGTAACACGAAGAAGGAGAGGAATGCCAGGCTAGTTACTTGACAAAGCCGTGCATCCGCCTCACGCCTGCACCAGGCCAACCGGACAGATACAGAGTGCGCACCCACGCATGTGGTGAACGGCTCCTTGCCCTGGTTTCGCTCAATGTTGTTGCTGTGACCCACCAAAACCAGCTGAGTGTTTCTCATGCTGATGCATACCCGGAAGCCAGGTGAACTTGCTGGACGAATATTCCGTTTGGTGAACCTGACGGACACGATGAAGCTGCAGCATGCGTCATTCTGGTCTTTCGTTCATGATAGCTTGAGGTCAGGATGAGGATTAATCCTGCAACGCTTTCTTGCAACAGCTGTGTTCATTTTCGTTCAGGGCCCTGTCTTGCTTGCATCGCGTGCTGGAAGATTTAAACGTGCAGAAGCACGAGAACAGGGAGAGAGGAGGGAAGGCAGCCATGACTGACGGACAAAGCCTTTTGCGCTGTCCCTTCAATTCCCTTCGCATTCCAATCCTCCATGCGCTTTTCGAGTCTCGTGGAAATTCAACTTGCTTGGGTTCCTTTGAGTACCAGTGGCAGATGGGTCAATGTGAGCAGGATGCATTTCTTTGATTTCAGAAGCTGTTGAGAGGCCTCTCTGGCAGCTTCAGCAATGCTTGCTTCAGGACCAGCAGAAGGAGACTTCGGAGGGCTTGGAGATCGCGTGCGCCGGGGTGAGAGGTTTTGCATCTCCGTGTACCTGCAGACAGGGGTTCCATGCAGGCATGCTTCCAGACCGGAGACCGAGAAGGGATCCCAAAAAAATGCAAGTGGGCTTGGTGGACGCTCCATGTACACGCAGGCCTCATCAGCATCATGGACTCTGCTCCTCTTAGGGTCTTCCATGATCTTCCTGCAAGACAGTGTTGGAAGGTCCTGGAGCCAGTGTAGGATAACAAGCCCTGCTCATGATGCTTGAAACCTGCTTCTGTGTGGTGGGGTTCAGCTGAAGACTAGAACGGCAAGTTCGAGAAACTGAGTTCTAACAATGCTAAGTTGGTCTCAGTGCGCTGTGCACCTGCACCCTCTGCTTCTGTCATATCAAGTAATCAGGGAAGCCATGTGGAATACTGTTTGCGCTTGTAATTTTTTTTGCATCCCTCAAGGTAGGATTTCTCGGATAATCCTCTGAAAAAAAACCTTCAACATCCGGAATTCTGGGTCCGGAGCAACATCCTGAGCGATAGCCGAAAAACAGGCTTAGAAAACTGAAGCTGCAACAGCCACCACCCTTGCAGGCTGCACTGAGTCTTGGGAGGGCTGAAGGCTGTAGGCGGCGTAGGGGATTATCGTTTTGGCTGGGGAAGTCAATTTGGGAGTCTGGACACACGTCACAGCCCAGCTTGGCGACAGAAAGCACGAAACCTACGCGCTTCACTTGCTTGGCGCCTCGGTCAGGGCGGGGTCAGCACATGAGGGGATCATCGCTGGACTCTGCTCCAAGGGTTTTTCTGAGAAATTACAAAAGAGCCTTTGGCTTGCAAGGAGTTAAGAGGCTACTGCGAGATGCTGAATGACAGCCTTGAAGGGCGACCATGCGGTATCTCCTGAGCTAAGAGGTACCTGTACTTCCTCGAGCAGTTCAGGAAGGTGTACATAGGTGAGCACGCCAAGCAAGTGGTGCAGCAGCAGGCCTGTCACATCCAGGGATCGCATGGGAACAGTGCCCCATGGCTTCTGTAGAAGGTTTCGGAGGTAGGCGCAGCCATGGGACCAGAAACCAAGGCGGTTCCGCTCCTCTTGTTCTCTTCTGCCACCCATGAAGCCTGTGATGTTCTATATAAAAGAATGGTGCTAGGGTCACTAATATGACTTAAGCTATGTTCCTTAATTAAGGGGTATTGGGCTCCCCGGGTTTGGGGCACATTAGACCCAATTATTGAAGACACAAGGGGATGGCACTACTGCTTCTTCAGGCCTTTAAGATGTACATGGCTTTGACGCGGTGACCCAAAATTGCGGCCCGCGCGTCTCGAGTCCTTCACATTTCCGGTGTCTGCTTCTTCAGGGAGATGCGGCGACAGTACTGGTGGGCAACGGTACCTTTACAATCAAGAGGAGCCAGCAGCAGAAGAAGTACTAGCAGTAGTAGAGCAGCAAGTGGACAAACTAGGAGTAGAAGAGGTGGAAGTGGAAGCTGTTACCATGGGAGTGCTTATTCTAGCAGTGATCGTGGTGGAGCCTGCCGCTTGCAAGCCCAAGTTGTGAGGTCAATGAGCGCCTGGCCACCGTTCTTGGTCTCGAGGACGAGAATGCTGTGGGCGCCTGAGCACCGGAATCTTCATGCACGGGGGCAAGCTGTCAGCACTGTGCGGAGGTTTTGGGACTGCTCATCAACAAAATAGGCGCGGAGCCTGAGTGTGAGGCTCGAACATGAGGCTTGCTAATCTTGATTGTGCTTGCTAGGCAACAATCTCCAGCAGCGGTTTCAGCTGGAGACCGTGGTGAAGAAGACTCTCGCAGGGGCCCAAAGTGTTTGCGGACAGTGATTCTGTCTGTATATTCATGCGAGTACTGTAGCCGCGCAGAGGAGGTTAGCAATTGCTTGCCCATCATTTGATGAGCGCCTTTTCATCTTTCAGTAAACTTGCACATGTTTCGAGCTTGCCAGGCATGCATTTGGTTGTGCAGCCGTTGCTTCATCGAGGCACTTTTTCACGAGCTTGCTGCTGGCATCAACATCGTATTGCCCCCAGCATTACGAGTCTTGGGCCCACAGGGGTGCTGCAAAGTTAAGGTAGAACTGAAACGGCAGGGCTGTGTACACTGTTCCGTTTATCGTGAGAGGGAGCTTCGTTCACATAATTATCGGAACGTCGTGAGCTAGGTGGGGCCTGGGGCCCGGTGCAGACTCGGATGGCTGGTTTGCGAGGCTAGACTGCGCCGAGGGCTGGGATTTGGAGCCCTTTTTGGAAGGTTTTTTGATGTTTTCTGGAAGCAAATGAAGGCCTTTACAGGCCCAATCAAATGTGATTTCTTGGGCTCCTTCGCAGCCGAGATGCTCCACCTGACTTCTTTGTGTCTGGAATCTGCTTTCGCTGCCAACAAGCCTTGCAGATTGCATTCGGTGCACAGTGCTTTTCCAGCAAGCACGGCACACGCGCGAGCTTTTCACATCTCGTGCAAGTGCATTTTCAGCACGAACAGTATTAGCCTGGTTTCTTGGAGTCCAGGCGAAAAGTAGGTGGGAACGCGGTCCATATCTGCACGTGGGTACCGAACGGATTTTGCCTGTTGCTTTGGAAGGGGGTGTGGGGTAGGGGGTGGGTGTGGGGAATAGCTACGTGCTTAAGCAAGTGCAACACCTGCGAACTTGGTAGGTTTCCCCTAATAAGAGTCTCAGCCCACACTGCCCGTTCAGTAGCTTGGCTGCGCTGCTGCGGTTGGCACCGGGGGGGGTCCTTCGGGGGTGGGGGTCCCTTTCCTTTACCCTTTATACCCCTGCCGCGCAAGCAGCAGGCGTTTGCGCTGGAGACTGAAGCCTCGAATGCGCCGAAACACCACGTGCTGACGTGTAAGCGCGTAGTATGTCTCACGGGGACATGCTCCAACTCATAATTGTATAGTACATTATGGTACCATACCCTGTACAAGTTGAGTGGGCGCAGAGCTTTCGTTTGTGCCCCGGGCCCTCGAGTAAATTCATGGGCCATGGCGGTGTGCGTTGGTCCTCTGTGGACATTAGCTGCCTTGGGCCATGACGTTTGTCCAGCAGATCCCACACAGGCCAACCGCATCATCCATCAGCACAGTTTTTTTTGTGATGCACAAATTCGTGAGTGCAGTCGAACTGAAGCCGCTCAACTGAGAAGCTGTGGCACCGTGATGGACTAGTGAGAGATTTGCTTGCGATGAATCGTGATGGGTGAGGTAAGGGCAAGACCGCCCGAGGTGCACACATCAGACCGGTCTCCACACCTCATTGTCTCTGGCCGGCTGCTACTCAAGAACGACATGGTCAAGTGCCTTGCAGGCACTCAAGTGGGCAGCGGCTCCAAAATCTTTTGCAGGTACATCCTCAGCAACCATGCTTCTCCACAATTTGGATTTCTGAGCGGTGCTTAGTGTCGTTGCAGTTGTTGTCATGGTATTTGCTCTGTCATGTGTGGTGGTAGTGTGCTCTGAACCAAGGACTCACAGCTTGCAGTACGGCAAGTGCGCGAGCAGCACATGCGATACGTCATGCATGTTGAAGGCAAGATGGATGCAGCCTGAGGTACCGAACGATGTACTACCACACGTTGGGCAAGCTTCTCTTCATGGACATTAGAGAAAACAAGGAGGCCTTCGAGGGGCATTTTCGATGTTAGAACTTGCCGCCAGCCACCAGGGCATTTGTAAAGGATGGAATGCAGCTTTTTAATTGAACGTCTCCTGAAGACGCCTTGCTTACTGTGAGGCCTTCGAGAAGTTTATGGAACCTCAAGGCTGGTCATGGGGAAGTTTTAGGCGCGCGTGCAGGCACTGCCGCCGTAGCATCAGCAACTTAGTTTGTCATAACGTTGTTGATCCGCGCTCAGTCACATTGGACATGACAAGGGCTTGGTTCGTTGTGCCTGGGGAGGCCACATCCTGACATCATTGTGGCAGCAAAGCTGCCAAAATCCGCAGCTGTTGCGACAGGCTCGGCCATGGAAGCCCTATGACTTTATCACGTGGACTGCTTGGGTCATCGAAGGATTCGATTAAGCCAGCATTGGTTGGCCTTTGCCGAGACCTGCGCGGAATTGGCCTTGCTCCGAGTCTGAGGCCGTAGGTCAAAACCCAACGGCTCAAGTTTTGTTGTCTTGAGATTTTGAAGCAAGGCCTTGCCTGCAGCAGCTGCGAGCAGCAACCCAAGATGTTAGAACCATGCACAGGATGCTCTACTTAATGTAGATCCTTGCAAATGACGCGAAGTAGTGAGCGGAGTTGATTGTGATTTGGCAATTTTTAGCATGCATTTTGCAAGGCCCTACTCGATGCTTTTCGATTGGCTGGTGGATAACCCCAAGAATCCGTCGGCGAACAGGGTGGGCTCCTCTGCCAAGCGGTCATAAAAACCTTAAATTCTGAGGAGCAAAGTTGAGCTGCAACTCCTCAACCCAGTCCAGAATCCTTGTAAGTACGTAGCCAGAGAACAGAAGGCCGAGCTTGATGCACAAAGGCTGCAGTTGGATTGGATTTCGAAGTGCAATCGGATTTAAGGCCGTGCTCAGGTCGCAGGGGTTCTGTGCAGGTAAGGTTTTCACCATCCGATCAATGCCTTTGGGAAAAAGTGTGCTTGCAGGTATTCATATCTTCACTTAAGTGTGATGTGATATCACTACGCCAGTTTCAAACCTGCTTTACTGACAGCAGACCAGCAGCGGGATCCTTGTATTTGTTTGCTTCTGCTCCTCAAGTGAAGTGCGAGGTCAACCTGTTCTCTCGAGCTCTTGATGTTTGGTGGGATGACCCAGAGGCCAGACAAGCAGTGTAGAAAACCGTGCCACGGGTGCTGCCTGCGGCCCATTAGGGTGGGTTTTGTGATCAAGTTCGACTGCCTCAGCAGGTTACAACTCCACTGCTAAAGTTCATGGCCGAGTTCGTGCACAACAAGGCCTCGCGGCTGGCTACAGACGTTGACGGCCCGTGGAAGCACAGATGCAGTAGCGTGTTGATGCGTGAGGCCCAGCGCATAACCTTTGATCAGTCCTCGCCGAACGGTCCGCACCCTGAGACCGCTACAAGAAGAGCAACAAGAACAGCAACATGAATTCCTTTGGAGAGCGTCTTCTCGACTCCGAGGCATCCTCCTCTTCAGGGAGGCCTCCGCCATCCTGGTGACTTATGGGACCCGAATCCTCCAGCGAACCCAGCCCGAACCTAAGTTGCTTCTGACGACACAGCTTGGTGGTAGAGTCCCGTGGAGCTTTCAGATGTGCGATTGCTGTGAACATTCAGCTAGTTGCAATGGAGCTTAGCTTTTGAATTTGGAGCAAAAGGAGTTGGTACCCTTGTTTCTTCTTTATTTCTTCTTTGTTTCTTCTGTTTGCTGACTCGTCTGAAGCCGAACATGTAATTACTCCATGCATAGGGCACGCCACTCACACGGTCTCACCTTTTCGTCGCATACTCACTCCAGTTGAACGTGTTGAGGTTTCGGGATGTTTACATCGAGAAATACAAGGGCATTGGCGTATGCTGCTTGCTCAGTCCGTTGTTTGGCGCTAGCCTGAGCATGAACATTCGCAAAGAGCCACTTCAGTGGCAGACAAGGTCTTGACATGTTCTCCCACGCTCTTCACGGGTGCCTGGCTGTTTGCAGCTTGCAGTAATGCACATTGCATGCCAAATCGTAGCTTTTGATGAATGCAGGAACTACACAAATTTTGGAGTTTTTGAGCTGTACAGTGCATCTGCCTCAGCTTTTGCGTTCCATACTCATCCGTCCAAGGCAGTTAAGTAAAACCAAGTTCGTGTCAGCATTTTTGGTTGGGAGTTGTCGTCAAGCCTCGCAAGCTTGATGCTGCCACTCAGTTCCGATGTGCTGCAAAGAGCTGGTTCGAAGTGAAGACTTCAGGATAACTCGCTCTCGAATTCCATGGCGCTGGCCTTGCGCCTTTGCTCCTTGGCGCAATGGGATTGCCCAGAAGATCTCTTCGGGATGAGGTTTTTGATGATTGTGTGCGTGAGTGCCGGGTTCATGTCAAAAAGCATCAAAGCGCCCTTTCGCCTTCCAGCTTCCATGTGGGTAGCAACAGCAGGAGCACGAAGAGCAAAAGAGGACAACCCATTTAGAAGGTAATTAAGCGCGGCCGGTACGCCGCCCTTGGCGAGGGAGGCCTGGGAAAGAGCTCGGCAGGTTTCATGAAAGTCAGTTTTGAGTGGTCTAGGGTTTGCTTCTGTGACGCAAATCAGCGCCAAAAGCAGACAAAATATATCTTGGACAAGGAAAAAGCCTCACGGGGCCAAGGCGATGGTGCAGCGTCCTTCCAAAACGTGACCAGTCAGTCCTTCGTAAATAGTGCGCGAGCGAAAGCGCTTGGTATTTCATGTTGCAAGGAGGCCTGTCTCGACCTACTAAGCCATCAACATGCAGTTGAAGACCCGCCCTAGCTAGAGCTGCACTTGCCATTTTACGATGCTGATCGCTTCCGAGGATCGCCTTTAGTTTCTGCATGTCCTTTTGCCTGGGTGGGGGGCGACATGCCCGTGCCCTGCGTGCCGGGGTTTGCAGGAGTCCTTTAGCATTCAGCTTTTCTTTTGCAGCAGACACTTCTGCCGAAAACCTCCAGAGCCTGAAACTGCGCCACCACATGGAGTCCTTGTTAATTACACGCTGCCGGGAAAAAGCTTAACATGAACAACACCCTGAAAAAGGTATGCTGGCCCGTGCCCAAAATCCCATACCAATGAGCAGGATGAATCGCTCGATCTCACTGTGTAGAATTTGTGGCTTGAAGTCGCTGGGCAATCGGAACATCCTGTAAGCAAAAGTAAGGGGTGGGCAACGCATGCCTGGCCAGCGGTCAGTTGATCAAAGCGCACGGCTGACGGGCTCGGCAGATTTGGCCGGAGAAAGTTCCTTGTTGAAGCCAGTCATCAGTATGCGCACGCACAATAGCTGATGGAGATTTGGCAGCCATGTGAACCGCCCAGGCTTAGCCATCCCGCTGCAGGACAAGTGCCTGTTGTTTGAGCCAGTTCGTAACCAAAGGAATGCTGCTGTTGTTGTCGCTACAAATTGCTGTCTTGGGGCTGCTATGCAAGCGCGTGAAGGTTGCCCAAAGCAAGCACGTTGGCATGACTCAATGTTACTTTTGCTTAAGCAAAATTTCCTTAGACCAGTCACACAGTAGACGTACAATATTTGCAGCAGCGGCAGGCGCACGCCAGCAACGTGCCATGATGAACGAAGTGCTTGGCTTCTCCCCATCGAGTTCTGAAGAGCCACCCATCGTGTGTTGAAAGCTTCTGTAGGAAAGGAGCCTAAAACCTGCGTAGCCACCAAAGCTGCCCTGAAACAACAGATGTTACTGAACTTCATCCTGGAGAGGTGAAACTTTTGAATGGTGCAACGAAAAGGGATTCCCACTGGGTGACAGAACCTGGAAGTTGCTTCCTTTTCTTTGAAGTGACCCTGTAATGGTCATCGTCTCAAGGCGGGCGCGCACAGACCTGTTGAATGTTTCGTGGCACTTGGGCTAGAAGTTGAAGTCTCCAATCTTTCAGTTACATTGATGAGCAACAAGAAAGGTAACCAGCGAAATCCTGCATAAAACTAGGCAGGTGGCAGAAAAGAGTCAGCGGCAAGATGTGGCCACTGGACGCACGGGACTACTTCTCCAAACTGCAAACGTTGGACATTTCGGCAGGGACCCTCAAGCTTGGTGAGGGAGCATGTGCATACCCGGTTCAGCATGCATCTCACTTGGCCGAAGGAGCTCAATGCTTACCTGAAGGCCTTGAAGCCATATTATTACTTCGTGGAGTTCCTTGGCCCGTTGAGATCAGTCCACACCTGCGAGCTGCAAGCTGTCACAGGCAGAAAAAGGTGAGAGCTTTAGGGTTGCTGATAATGAGTCCCAGGCTGGCAACCCGCGGTCACATGTCGAAGGCATTGGTTTCTCCATCCTCGAGCTTGAATCAGCTTGAACGTGCTTCACAAGCTGCCTTGGTATGCAGGTCATGGAACTGGACCCTGCCATGCTCACGTCGCTCATGCAGAGCGTGGAAGAAGGCAAGTGCGGGAGCAACTCAGGGAGTTTCAGCACGTTTGAACTCCTTGACTCGCGTGAGTCTGTACGTGTCTCTGATTGTACTCACCATCTTGGGATGTTGCCTGCGGCAGGCCTCCTCTCCTTTGAGACCGGCGTGCAAATGCAAAGCTGTGCCGTGGTAGAGCCTCAAGCCGCAAGTTTCAGAAATGAGCTGGCAATAGATTCAATAGATGGAACGTCAAATAGGGCTTTGCTGCAGTGCTGTCTGCATGGAGCCTGCTTGCCAACTGTCTGAGGACAACCTGATCTCGTATTTTCATTCGCAGCTGACTGGCAAAAGCAGCCCAGAGCAGGACATCCTTCGCTCCGTCAGCGACCGTCATATCCCTCCATCACTCACTGTGAGGACCGCGTGCGACGATACCTGGCTGAGGCCAGACATTTTCCAAAATGGAGCCGGGTCTACAGATGGAGACCATGCAGGCGCCTCATTGCCTGCAGAAGATCCTGCACCTGATGTTCCAGCTCGTCATGACAGGCTCATGAAACTGCAAACAGTCATTGGCAGCTTCATACTGACACTGCAGAGCGGATTGGGAGCTTGATGCCGTCATGAGTCATGAGAAGTTGAATCGCTCATATGTATACAGGGGAATCTACAGCTGTTCAGATGGAATGGGTAAGCAAGGCATAAACGGCTGGAACAGTCACACCTCTTGAAACAGGATGCCCCTTCATAGGGATTCGTGAAGCTGTCGCAAGTGCGCGTGAATTGTCATGGGGAATGCCAGGCATTGCTACGTGAGCTTTTGTTGTTGACTCTTGTTTGGAAAGAGAATGTAATTTGGACCAGGTGAGTTCAGCTCCATGTGGTCAATTAGCCGTCCTCTGCCTTCAGCTCAGTTTCGGTGGCCCCAGAGCAAGACAGGCGGGTTGCAAAAGTCACAGTCTAATTGGCAATGGACATTAGCATGGCCATTCTTTGTTCTATCAATGAGATGGCGCAGCTTCAGACAACCAAATGAATGGATTTGCAAAAGGTCACAGTATGATCACCATCATCGTTGTCTTCGTGAAGTCGTCAACAGCCACATCATCAGCGACATTTTCGATGACCAACCAAAACCCATTCACATCTGTCACAGGCTTCATGGCTCCATCAGCAAGAGTCAGCATCAGCATTGCCTGTCTGAATTCTCTGCCTATCATGCCCTGTCCGAACCTTTCCTCAACGTGTCTCATCTAGCATCATCGCAGTTGTCAGGCCATCCGCATCCGGATGTTGCATGAGGTGTCATGGACGTTTTTTGTCACTGATGGTCATTGGCCAGCTACATATACTAAATATACTATCTATAATCAACGCGGTCGTGATTGCCAGGGTGGCATCCCTTGACACCAAATCCTTTGCCATGTATCATCTTGCGCTTGTTGTCTGTCCTCTAAGAAGCCTAGCATCCAGCACCTACCATCTCTTATCCTGATTTCGCACATAGCTCTCCAATGCTGCAGAGTGGCTTGCACAAGGAGGCTCCACCTCCCTGGTGACCTCTGATCTCCCTGACCACCTCAGTTTTTCTACCTTTGTGTTTGGGGTCCCCTTTGGGCTTTAGGGTTCAGGCTCAGGGCCCCGGGTCTTAGGTTCTCGAGTGTGGTGATTCAGTGTCTGAGGGCAAAGGCTTTAGCTCAGAATGTTAGAGCTAGTGTTTGGGTTGGGCTTTGCGGCGTTTTGAGGTGTTAAGAGGTTAGTGCTTGGGGTTTGATTCGGCGTACGCTTTGAGGTTGCTACAGGTTTTGGGGCTTAGCATTCAGGGCTTCGGGTTGTCAGGGTGGTTTTCAGATCTAGGGTTGGAAAGTGTTTGGTGAGGGTAGGACACTCACTTGGTGATGATTTTGGGCCAGCAGTCGCAGTGAGGGGTGGTGGGCAGACAGCCGCCGCGCAGACCACAAAGTGGAGAACTTCCTTTACTACGTCTGCCACCTATGAATCATTGCTTGAGCATAAGCGTTGGCATCGCCATCTATGACTTATCATGATTCATTCGCCGAGTACAGTATTTACAGGTATTACAATGCGACATGTCATGCTGCCTCTGGCTGTTGGGTTTTCACTAGAGCAGAGCTGCATTTAGGTCTGCATTCCATTGTTGGCCTTGACTCTCCTTTAGGGTGGCTAGTTGGCTCTTACATCACCTTGACCCATCTCGTTCCTGCTCCCTCGCCTGGGGAGCCTCCAGTAAGTCTGACGCGTAGGCGCCTTGCTTTGTAATTGTGGCTTCTCTAGATCACGGAATCACTCAGATTGCCATTGAACGTGACATTTACCTACGTATAGACAACTCTGATAGAAACTGTACGGCTAGGATGCTTGAGCCCCATGCGAACCTGGAACAACTGCGGCAGTAGTGAAGATTGTTAAGTTCGCCATCAAAGCCGTCAGTGTGTCACTGTCATCGTGAGCATCTGTTTTTAACTGCCAGTTTGCTGATGATCCGGCTCGGTGCTTAGAGCGATGCTCATGGGCTACGGCCCGGTCTTAACTTTTTGGGCTACTTTAAAGAAGTGCCCCTGTCGGACCAGACCACATATGGCAGCCTCGCGGCTGTGACGCATCGAGAGAGAGAGAGAGAGGGCAGTGCCCCGGCTCACCCGCAAGGGGTGAGCATAGCCCGAAGAAGAAGATGATGATCATGATCATCATCAGTGTTATCCTTATCATCGGTGTTGCCCGTGTTTTTATTAGCTTCGTGGTTGTTTCGTCATTTTGCCACTTCATCAGCCATTCCTGCGCCCCACCACTCCAACTACATGGCGACGACTGCCACTATTGCGAGTGCACATTCTTGCCGCTGCCACTGGCTTCCGATGGGAGGGTCGTGCGCTGCTTCCCAAGCAAGTTGTGTATTGTATCGCTTTCATACCAAAGTTTATCGCTCGGGCTTGGCGAGCACTGTTGAGCTTCGAGATGTAGAGCCATTAGCAGACTGGCAGCAGTGATGCATTAATGTTTAGGAACATGTGGTCTGCTGAGAACTGCTCACATGCGCTCCAGGGTTTTTCCCCCAAATCACTGCCCAGGCTGGGCTTGATTCTTCTTCATGAGCAGCACTTCTTGCAGTTGAAGGATGGCGTGGACGGCTCTGAGTGGATGCGATGATTCTGACCGTAGTGTCATATGCAGGAGCAGCTCATCAACCAGCAGATCGAAGAGCGTCGTCCGAAGCTGCGCAGCTACTTCGATGCTGTTCTGGCATGTACTGTATTGCGCAAGTACATTCTTGCTCCCAGAACGTAACTTGCACCACAGTACTTTGCAAAGGAATTGGCACGGTTGCAGCCAGGACCTCATGGCCGGAGTGGAGAACAGCATGAACACTAAGAACAAGGATGCTCCCCTTCTTATGGCAACATGCTGTCTCTGAAGTTACGTTTGCAGTTGAGCGACGCAGGACCACTTCACACGGAACTTGTACAACTTTGCGCAGGTTGCGGATTTCTCGGCTTGCCATCCTTCCTTGCTCTGGTCCAATCATACAAAGCTTTGTTGAAAGAATTTGAGGAACTTGGATCATGGGCCTTGTAGCCGAATTCTAGCTGTGGGCTTGTTGAGGGCGCGGCTATCCAAGGTGCGTACGCTGTCGTAACAAGCAGCGAGGTCTGGTGCAACTCTCGGAGAATGTTGTTCTAGTCAGATTCCAGTTTGAAATTTCAGCCATGCAGGGAATGTCGTTCTAGTCGCAGATGCCACGTAACCCAGCCGAGTCCTTGCTGCCATCTTGTGAGAGCACCCACTTCACAAAGATGGGCATATGAGCTATAGTCTGAACTCCTAGTATCCCCCTTCATACCCCTATAACCCCCTTTAAGGAGTGTAGACTATAGCTCATATGGTGCAATAGAGGCAGGTACTTGACCGTGCTATGCGTGCTCGTGCTGTCAGTGCTGTCATGGTGTGTCGATGTAGATTTATGGAGAAAGTCAACTGTGACAGCAAGGGTTCTTGAATAAAGGATGGGACAAGCTCATGATGGACACCATTTTGCTCACATGTTGATCATGTCAGGGACAAGTTTTGACCAGGTGGCAGGAGTAATTCGGTCAAATTGCAACATATTTATCGAAGAGACAGCTTTGCCCAGGTGCATGGGCTCCTTTCTCCGACTCTCAAGAATCGAGCAATTCAAGCGCCTGTTGCCACATGTCGCCACAGTGAGGCATTGCATGGTTCCTTCAGTTCAGAGCCCCTGAAGATAGTCATTTCTAGATCCAATCCAAGATCAGCGTCGGGCATGAGCTGGGAACGGTCGTTTTCCAAGCGGGTTGAAGCGTGACACATCCCAGCATTTGCATGATGTTCCTTTCAATTTGTCCGGAGATAAACCGAAGTTGGACTTGTTTGCATTTGGCACGCCTCGACCCAGGGAATTCGCGGGGTCGGCCTGGGCCATGCAACAAGAGTTTCCGCGAGCCTCACAAGCGCTTTTCTAGTCAGTCCAAGCCATCTCGGAAGGGGCATTTAGACCAAAAACCCTATGGCCACCCTGCAGCTGCTTGGTCATGGGAGCCTCTCTGGAGAAAGACTTTTGAAGGGTTGGGATTGATTGGCTTGCAACACAATGACGAGTAGGTGCTGTTTTGGGCACAAGTGGCGGTAGACGCTGAACGATGGTTCTATGTGCCAAGCAGCCGCTTCCATGACCAGGAAGGCAACAGTAAAGAAGAGCAGCCCTAGTGTGATGTTTGCTAGCACCCTATGCGGCCCTACATATTCAGCTGTTGCATGTTGCATTTAGGATTTTGGCTGCCAATGATAGCTGAGCCAGCCAAAAACCCGACTACGAGTGGCCATTGGAAAAGGCGTTGTTGCGTGGAGGGCATGCCTGTTTCGGACCAGAGGCCACAACTTGCTCGTTGGAAGGGGCTAGCTTGAACTGGTAAGCGTCCTGATGCCTTGCTTGATGATTGCACCCTCTGCTCGAACAACATTTAGTTTCTTTGCATTGGCCACACTTGACCTGTTAGAGCCTGTTAGCCTTGTTTTTTGACAGCGCAACTTGGATCCATCCTGCAAGAAGTGTTCTGTAAATGCCCCGAACATTGGTGAGGTGTACGCAGCATGCTGCGCAGGTCTGCAGGCACTTGGAGCGTCTCTTTCAGCAGACAGCCGTGTGCCCAGTCAACCTTCCGTGGGGCTGCATGGTCAATGAGCACCTAGGTGGGCCCACGAATGCGAGCTACAATTTATCAACAATTGTCGCAAGAAAGGAATCAACTCAAGGGAAAACTGTTTTGCCCAATCACAGTGGATTTGCTAGAGAATGAACTGAGATTGCAATATTCTTGTTCTCTTCGTACCTAACTGCGATGAACCATCACTGGAAGGACTAGGTGGGGCCACAAGCGCTCTTGAGTGAAATCAAACCGTGATATAATAAATTAGCCAGCGGCTACGTGTCATGCGGTTCGTTGGGACTTTCAGGCAGGAAGCTCCATAGTTCACTGCTCTCTCCACGATATGAGCATGGGCATGTGAAATCAGCGTACTAAACTGCACTTGAATGATCGGTACTGAGCTTGCAATTCAGCACCGCCACCTAAACGTAAACTGCATCAAGCGATCAAAGGCAACACCAAAGCCTTATCGACGGTTACTCGTGGACGGCTTGTAGTGGTGGAACGCCAGCCGCAACGCATGAAGCAGGAAGCCATCTAGTCTAGACATGCATGCGGAAACGATCGGGGCTATAAAGATGCAGCCGGCTTCCGCAAATGCAGAAACTCGCAAAAAATTGCCAATTCAGCTGTGCCTCCACTTTCATGCATCATTCTCAACTATGCGGAGATAGAATTGCATAGCCCCATAGAGGACATTTCGCTGCGTGGACATGTGCACACATTAAATCTGGTCAATGCAGATCGCAGGCCAAACGAAACCCAACCAGGGTAGCAAGCCCAAGGGAACCAAACCAGGCAAACAACGCGAGGAAACCACCACAAACCTGAAGTCCGCAGCATGCTGCACACCAAGCCCTATCATCGGCCCAAGCTTGAGACTGGCACGGGGCGATAGGTGATCCCGATGCTCAGGTGGCGACAGCTCCCAGGGTTTGCAGCACAAGCTCTTGAGCATCCTTAGGGTGGACTGCACTCCGCCACTGGGCTACCTGAAAGTCATTGCGATGAGTGATCTTAGATGTGAGGCTCGCGATGTTCCATGTTCCGTTCGCTGGCGCTTGCCGTTGATAGTCGCAGTCCGGGGGTCGGTCTTAGCCAACTCTTTTTGCAGCTCCATCTGGGGCTCCGGCAATTTAGGCTTTAAGCTTTACTTCTTCACGGACTGCTGAATGAACTTGGAGGCTTGCTTGTCCAACTTGTCAACACATGTCCAAGGCGTGGACTCGTGAAATTGCTGCACGGCGAACTTTCATCCGACGTTGGGACAAGCTGGGGAGGCAAACACGAGAATCAGCCGAGAAGTGAGGGTCCCGGGTTTTGGGCAGGCACATGTGTCAATGTTTGGCATGGGTTTTGGACGTGAAGCTGCACAATGCCACGCTAAAAAATGAACTTACGCAAAACACTGGAGGGGTAATCATAAAGCATGTCTTCCGGCCATATTTGCTCAAAAAAGGCTCAGAGCTTATCTGGGCTACACCGTGTGCTCGTGATCAAATCCACCGCTTAGGCCGCTCCCGAGTGGCATCATCGTGTCAACACAGGATGGTTTATGGCTTATGGGGACCTCCTGCAGGTGAACCCGCCTCGTTCTTGCTGCCATTGGTGATCCGTACGTTTTCGCCAACATAGACTCGTCAAGTCTAACCGTCTAACCAATGATACACATTGACATTCCATTTCTCGGCCACTAAGTTTGGTGGAGTTGAATTGCTGCACGGGTGACTGGCCCTGAATGGTCATGTGGTATGCGCACACTTGTTGGCAAATTACCTCATAACATGTAACGACAGTCGATCATATTGCAAGTCTTGCGCCGGCAGTGCCCGCAGGGTTTTTCTGAATCCGGCTTCCGGCAAATCGTCGAAAGCCAGCTCACCGCGTCAACCCGCCTCAGAAACACCGAAGGGCACGTTTTTTGAAGCACCACCTCCCCTCGGAACGCCCAACCTCTGCCGCACCAGTCGGGCAATGCCGGGCACCAAGCCAGAACACCTGAGCACCTCCCAGAACTGGAAAAACACGAGCGGCAATTGGCGTGCTCATGACCACCCCCAAGCGTCTGATACTTCTTGCTTCTGAGCACAGAAACAACTGCACGACAAGGACCGCCTGACATGCGGAAATCTGTTGCTGCGCATCCTTTGCAAACAAGCCAAAACTTGGTCTTGCATGGCACTCGCTGCAGTTTTGAGATGCCAGACTTCCCAATTGGGCCGCTTGTTTTGTCTTGGGATACATTGGGCAGCTCTGCTAACCATCTTAAGCTGAGGATGAAGGGGAAATCCGATACCGGCAACAATCTCACGCACGTGCGCATGAGGCTTGACACATTGCAGATCCTCTTTGCTGCGACACTTGCGTTTGATGGTGCGATACTCATAAGGCAAGGAATCAAAACACCATGCGCTTCTGCGAAGGTGAGCTCAAGGGGGAGTGTAAGCCTTATGCAACAGGTGCTGCTCATGGCAAACCTGTTCCGTGCTTTCCTTCCTCAACCGTCTCATACTGTAGTGTTGCACCCAAAGTTTTCATACAGCAACTCTTCGTATGAAGAAATGCTCCTCCCCTCTGCTGCCGCTGGGCAGTTGTCTTTTTGCGCAATCACGCAGCATTTTTGGAGCGAGCGTCGTAGCTGACGCACAGAAGAAGCAATTTTGCATGGGTGCACAGGCCAGGAAACCGGAGTCCAAATGTCTCCTTGTCTGTCGGCAGCACCCAGAACAAGACAGACAGGTGTATGCGTCGGGAAAGGTATTCTTATGCTCATTCGAGAGTGTGGGCACAACTTGCGAAATCGCCTTCTCCGCCAAGCCACAATCAATGTTTGCTGTGTAAGTCAACTGGCAGATGGGCAAGCTGCTTTGACGACCTGGAGCAAGACAAATTTAAGTTCTGATCAAACACCGTCATACAGCCGCAACAGTGGATCCACCTGAAAGAGGCTTCCTGTGGGATGCAGCCAGCGCCGCAGTGATGTTGCAGGGATTGCCCTGAAATTGAGATTATTCCAAGCCATGACAAAGTTTGGGAGCCCCGGCAAGCAGGTACGAGTCACGAGCGCTACCATCTAGCCAAGGCACCATGTAACAAAGATGGCGAAAACATACGAAAGACCTGCGCATTAATGCACAATCTACGGCTTGCAGAACCCGTTGCCTTCTAGCTTTTCATGCGCCCGGCAAACCACGCATGGTCACAAGTATCGCAGGTGGCTTTGTCACGGTATTTGCTGACCCTGCTTTGCAGCTCTAGCAACGCATAGATGGCACAATCTGACCTCCAACGATGGCTGCAAGGGAGCCCCAGCTCACAAGCGCTGACCAAGGCAACACGCTGCAAGCACAACATGAGTCGGAGATAAGAGTTGCAA